TATTTGAAGAGGTTTCAATTAAACTTAAAAGACGCAAAATTAAAAAAGACATTACCAAGGAGAATATTGGTCACTTTCTTGTTTTAAACAAGGATGATTTTCTTCTATGTCGTTTACCTAGTAGACGAGACACTGATGATAGATTACGGCTCATTGGTCTTTTTATTGTACATGTTGATGAAAAGAAATGGAAGTTCAGTTTAAAGGATAAAAAAGAGAACAAGGTGGTTATAAATTTTCTCTTAACTCTTAAAAGCAAATTAAAATTAAAATTATTGTTCTTTTTTAGGCCTGTGCATGGATAAAGATTGATGATGTTATACGTAATAAGCCCGAAGGTAATCATGACATATACTACACTTTGCGTCCGTTCGTTCGGTAAGTAGAACATTCACTTTCAAACTTAGAAAATACATGTAAATGAATACATTTGTCTTCCATTTAGATATTTAAAAGATCATCCAATGCCTTGACACAACACATATTTTATTCTGAAGAAAAAGAATGTATCCTATCATAATCAAATATTTCTTTTTCTTTTTCTTCAATATTATTTTTTCATTAATAAAAAGAATTCATAGATCATAAAAGTGATCTATTACATATAAATTGAAAAGATGATTTATATAATGTATCTTAAGTTATTATTGGCTGTTACTCACGCCACTACGATAAGAACATCGTACAGTTTAGGGTGTGAGCGTAGATGCGAGTATTGATTTGTACTTTCAGATTATCCATTCCCATTCCACACAAACACATTTTTTAGTTGATTGCTGGATCGTATTGTTACACACAATGAAAACTTTAAAATTTAGAACGTTTTTGCACTATTACACATATATTCTCATTGATTCTAAGTGTTTGTTGTGTAGTAATACTAACACTGAAATTTATTGCTTTAGTTCTTGCACAGAATCATCGATTGAACTCAATTGTATCTTCATTGAATATTTTCTCACATGTTTACCGACTATGATCGACTGAATTAATACATGTGTGCTTTTGGAACGTGTCGGATTCATTTGGAGCAGCATTCATTTTGATTTAAAAAACAAAAGAAGAACATAATTTTTGGTCAATAAAATTAATGAAATGATCAGTAATTAATTATAAAACGGTCAATTTTTTATATATAAGTGCCAGTAAAAAATTTAAATTTGATCCGTAAAAAAATTAAACTGGTCAGGAAGAGCGCAGATTTTATCAGCAGAGGAAATAAGTTTTGTTTGCAAAAAGATTAATATAACATTAAAAAAGTAAATTTAAATAAACAGAAGAACTACATTAAAAAGAGAGCTATCGGGACTTATTGTTTTTTTAGGATGAATTGGATTTATTTATTGATAGCACATAATAAATTTGAACATTACCAAAGAGAGCCATAGTTCAGAAGCGTAGAGAAGTGTCAATAAATCCCAAAAAAACCGAAAAAAAATAAATCCCGAGACCTGCTGAATAAAAATGAAGAAATCCAAAAGAATGTTAAATAGAAATTGAAAAAATGAGATGACAATTGAATTATTGCGCTAGTATATGTGAACGCACTAGGGAGAAATAATGGTTCTGCACAAGACACATAGACGAAAAAGAAGAATATAGATTAAAGCGAGTCTAAAATTTCCGAATCCAAATTTGTACCCGATTCATCAAATGCTTTTCAGATCTATACCCGGACACAAATGCGAGCCATAGTCTTGATACGCTCCACGAATTATTATTATCCAAGTTTTGATATTGCCTACAAAGATACGAAGTTCTTTTTATCGATTATTTGCATTACAGGACTAGCACAACCTACTCATTTCCCAGGTGATCTTGATGGTGATTTTATAGTCATCAAGTTATATAATAGGCTCTTTTGGTTAGTTGGAACTCCCCCAGATTCAAAATTTCTGGACCTTCAACAGAAACTTTTAAAATTCAAATCCTGTCTGATCTGATACTGGTTCCAGAGGCTCTAAAAGAATGCTTACATAGTGAAAGGAAAGAAAGAAGAAGAAGTAAATCATCCTATAATAAATTTCGATTTTTATAGTTATCCTTTAATTTAATTTACTGATCTTTTTAGTATTAGGCTGACAAGAAATTTTTGCGTTTTTTTCGAAAATTTTATTTTTATTTTTCAACTTCAAGCATACAACTAGCTTTCAACAATGTATGCTCCATTACTATCTATGACTTGTTGCCAACACTCTGGTAGAGAAAGGATCTCGCGTTCATAAAAGTCCTGCGACTTTTGGCCGGAGCAATTGACGAGGTCCATTTTGAGTTCGTTCTCGTCGTCGAATTTTTTCTCGCGTAAATGGTTCGACAGAGAACAGAACAAGTGGTAGTCTGTGAGAGATAAGTCTGGAGAATAATCGTGTGATATCCAAACTTCATATTTTCACGTTTTGCCTAATTTCAATCAGATGTGTTTCCACTGTAATGCGAGAGCATCCAAGTCGGTCTGCTAAACATCATGTAGTCAATCTAGGATCTTCTTCGATAAGCTGCTTTAAGACATCCATATCGACCTCTAATGGTCTTCCGGAATGAGGTAAATCGTCGAGTTCGAAGCTACCGTTCTTGAACCGATTGAACTAATGTTGCGATGTACGAATGGAGAGTGTATCCTTGCCCATTATTAGTTTGACAAATGAGTAGTCACCTATGAGAGTACATTCTCTCGAGCTCTTATCTTTCTTCCTATACGTTTCCGAAACCATCCAACGGTTCGAACAGTACACTTTTATAATTTTCAATTATATTCCAACATAAATCACTTTAAAAAAAAAAGATTCATTTTTGCCTACTCGAGATTCTCTTGGCATCTGAAATTTCATATCGTTTGGTAGTATATAGCAATAACTACAATATAATTTTTCAAAGAAAAAATAAGTAATAACAAGAAAATATTTCTTTTCTTGAATATTTGTCATTTGTGTGTTACATAAATGTATCACAATTGTCTGGTATTTCTCGAAGAAAGTAGGTTCCCCATTTTGCATATTCAGATCGATCTTTGTGTTTTAAATCATCTTCACCATCAATGAGAACGATTCTGGATCGTTCATAATGTTTTATAGTTAATGAAAAGAATTTGTTATTACGAATTATCGATCCAAAAACGATAAGAGAATAATTTTTAGCTTTAATATTGTTTTCTATGATAGTGTCATTGTGAAGATTTTTTTTATCTCGTTCATATAGTCGAACATAATTTTTAAGAGACAATTTATACCCATAACCAAATCCATACAAAGCTTGTTTGAAATAATTTTTCGTTTCTTCTTGATTCCACATTTTTGATGTTGGATATTTATACATATATTTTGGTGGCTTAAAAACATATAGATTTTCTTCAAATATACGCGTAAAACCATGTAACATAAACTCTTTCATATAATCACATTCTTCATGAGATATATAAAGAATAGAATGTTTTTTTGAAGATTTTATTGGATATCTAATGATTTTTAAAATATATTCAACAATTTTAACAGTTGTTAATCGATGTTTAGCATAATACAATAAGCGATGTAATAAAAGATTATATTGATTAAGATCAAATAATTGATGATTAATACTCATATTGTAACGAGTAACACCTGGAATTGTTTGTGCTTCGTATAAAATTGATTTTGGTAAAAGTGATAATGTATAATTTCCTGCTTCATTCAATTTATCAAAAAAAGGCATCGTACCTGATGATATTATTTCGTAATGTCGATTACAATCCCATCCACCTTTTTTCATAGTAATTGCAAAGTATGCTGTACTGTATAATCGACGATAATCTATTTCATTTTCAAAACTAAATTTGTATGTTTGAAGTTTTCCTGGTGTTAGTTCACTGAAATCTTTAAATTTTTTAGGTAAACATACTTGATCTACTATTTTTAATTGTTGATTAATTAATACTTGACGCGGTATACTTTCAAATAAATATTGATCAATGAATCCGAACACTATTGGATAGAATTCAACAGTTATATTTGTACTTTTCTCTAAAGATGACGATGAACTTTGACGATAAGGACAAACTTTCGGCGGTGATATGAAATTAATTAACTTCTGAATTATGGCATCATGGCCCATGTCAATCATCAAATGTTGCTGTTCGATTTTGTTTAAAGATGTGTATCGGATAATTCCATCGGTTTTATTAGATTTGTACATAATGGAACATTCAATATGACAATGTGGTTCAATACATGGCATGGCAATATGAGAGTATTGAAATGAATGTTCTTCAGACTGTTTCCAATGTGAAGAGACAGTTGAGAAATCTTTTATCAGTATATTTTTTACATGTGCTTGAGATAGATAAGTTATCAAGAACACGAATAAAATCATAACCCATAGAAAAACACAAATTTTTGAACAAAACAATACACAAGACGGTAATTTTTGTTGATATTTTTGATTGCCAATTTTGATTTTCATCATTTTGACCTTCGAATGCAAAACAAGAAATGTTATATATTTATCAAAGATTGAAGTGTAGAAAATCAAGACAAACGATATATTTTTCTAAAACGTTCAAAATTCGATTCTATTTTCTACTAATCAATCCTGTAATAAACTAGAAAATTAATATTTATCTTAAAAGAAATAAAAATGAAATTGATCTCTATGAAGACAATTTTCGAACACATATATTATTACAAAACTCTCATTGATATATATTTATTTTTTAGATATTTACTAATACTAAGTAATATAGCTGATTATGATTTAGATTTTTAAATAATTATACTGAAAATGTTCTCGTGATTAAGTCTTGAATACATAGCTGAGTGAAATCTCTCATTGCTAATTGCATATGTTAAGTTATCTATCATAAAACATTGTTACTGCAAGTTTATATTCGAAATGATAATAAATTCGAATTGCACAATCGACTGTAATCACTTCTCAAGATTTCAAAACATCTGACAAATCGATCAAGTTAAGATTTGACGATATAAATTACTGCCAAATGAAACACTAACTTTATGCTTTTCCTTTATTTAAACAGAAAAGATAAGACTGTCTTTCCATTAGTCTCACTAAAATTTTCTTCAAAAGAAACGATAAAGAATGATGATTTACAAAGATTTTTCAAGACAACAATCTCAATAGAACATTAGATCGATGCATACTGAGAAGTTGGGTATAAAAAATGTCAGAAATATTATTTCATGCTTACAGTCTATAGGAAATAGAATTGCCAGGTCACACAGCTACTTTTTTGAATACTCTTGGAATTTCCGACTCGAGAAGGAAGATACTCAGCAACTGAAAACTACATATACTCGAAGCTAAACCTGCAATCGTATTCTTTTATCGGCTCCGTACTCAAGAATCTGTCACATATCAGTCCTGCGAGACAAATCGGCGTATCGCTAATCTAGCAGCATGCTGGAAACGATAAGCACATCTAAACACCATTTATAGATACGGAAAATAGAGAGAGAGATCGAACCGAAAGCGGAGGTTGAAATTAGTTTTGGATCCGATTGCCGGAATCGATGGGAATTTCATGAATCTGATCGTTTCCTGCCGTAATTTATCTACGTGAATATCAGCAATTTTCTCACTTGTTCTCTTATAGTTCACCTGAAATTATTTATAAGAACAAAGTAGCGAAGCAATGAAATGAATAATTAATGGTAAATTCTAAGAGGTTTATTCCAGTGTAAGTATAAGATTCTTCACTATTGCCGGACGAAATTCTTTTCTACCAACATCTGCACGCGATAGTTACAATGCAGCTATTTCCTTATAAAGATAGTTTTGATAGAAAACCACAATAATATAAAAAGTTAATTATGATCTAATATGTGAATACAGATATTCATCATTATTTGATAGATTTCAAGGTCGTTAAAATTAATATTTTAAAAGAAAATTTTACTGTTGGATGATAATTCTCTCAGACTCTTTCTAGCTGAACTACATGTTTACTAAAAAGCCGATTATTTTATAGGACAGAATACAAAAACGTATGATTAAGCTACTTAAAAGCGAAGTTTGAAATAGGTTTTCTTTTTGATTGAAAATGAATAGGAAGGTATTTTCGTAATGGAATCATGCTGGTAAATGTCTTACGTTTTCAAATAGAAATAACTTTTCTATCAAGTAACAAAAATTAGATCAGTCATGATGATTGAGAATAGGGGTGACCCTTTATCTTTACTTTCCTTTATAATAAAGGATAAAGATAAATGATACTTTTTATGACGACAGATAATGTAATTGGAAGAGCACTAGAATCATGAAATAAATCTGTAGAGAGATTATTACGATTTAAAAATGTAAATTTGATTTAAAATACGTTTCCCAAGATGAAATTCAAAAATAACAGAAATGAAAGCTTTATTTCTGATCTTTTAGGGGTATTAAGAAAGAGGAAAAGGTTCTTGTAACATTCTAATGTGATCTAAAGCTTTCTATGTATTCAGACATCTTTGTGTAGCTTTATTTCAGAATCATAGAATGTCTTCATCGAATCAATTATCACTCAATCTTCATATTTCTAAATAGAATTCCTTCATAATTTTGAATCACACTTCTAATTATCCATAACCTTACCCAATATACTCTATATACCCTTGACCTCAGAAAGAATTATAAGCAATAGCATAAGTTTTGTATGTTTCGTGGCATGTCTGCTTGCTTGTGTGAACTGACAAGTACGTATATATTTGGGAGATTTCCAAAAAGTTGTTTAAATTAAGCCCCATCTATCCCGGAAATTTAGTCAGCCACGTAGTTTCACCATCTAATTCTTGTCGCATTAAGCTGATTGAGGATAAGAATCTAACTTTTGGAACTCGGAAGTTGGGTTTCGCT